CCTTTGAAGTTGATCACATGGAGCTGCTTGATTGACCCAATGCTGACTGGTTGGTTATAGCATATTTTCTGTTCTCAAAAGCATTTAAGATGCAGGAAGGTGGAACTTTTCCTTTTAAAAAGGTGCCTGACACATTGGCTGAGAGGTGGCCATGATGTTTTCAGAGTTCTATGGCCAACATGCATGTGCTTAACACTCTTGGGCAACAGAAGAGAAATGGCTCCCAGTGCAGATACCTTTATTTTTATCCTGCCTATTCCCAGTGATTGGGAATAGGGATTAGGCAGGTTGCTATAAGATGGTTCCTTCTCACTGTATCATTATCTTTATTGCCATTTGCGTTGCTTTTATTCTGTTCTGTGGTCTTAAGATTGCCGCTTGCTACCTTGGGAGGGCTTCCCCTTTAGCAAGGATGTTTAACTTATTTCAGCTGAAGGACCAGATCCCATTTTAGAGTAACCCACAGGCCCCACATCCCAGGGATGGGCAGGGCAAAGGCAAGTAGAGCAGGGCCAAACAGGCGTAGCTTCGGGTTCTTTCTTCCAGTAACTAAGCCTTGGGAGGAGCATTCCAACCTTTTGGAATGGAGGAAATTGCCACAAAAACAAGCATCACCCAATGCTCACCCAGAGGGCCTGACTTGGTTTGGTATTCCCGCCCTAGAAGGTTGCTTGTAAATCTTTTAGACACATAAATAAGATGGTCAGTGACTACTAGCTGTGATCATCAGATGAAGCTTCCATGTTTAGATGCAGTAGACTTCCCATGCAGGGGATTAAAAACCAACGCAAGAACCAAAACATGCACAAAGAAACAGGAGGGCCCTCTGAGTGGGGGATGCTGCAACATGGTGTCCCGCACCAGCAGGGGGTTGGACCCGATGGCCTTCATGGCCCCGTCTCACTCTGCTATTCTGTGATTCTATGACAAGTGCGCATTGACATCATCCCATGCTACTGAGCTTTGACAGGCCAGACCCCAATTGGAAACGGAGGTCCAGAAGAGAAGGAGCTTTGGTTGGCTCCAGCAGAGCAATTCTTTTCTTTATCATGCAAAAGAGCTGGAGGATCTGATCCAATCTGCACAGCGCTTCATCTCTGCTCCACCCCTGCTATGCCCAAATGCGTATTTGGAAGGACTGAAGAGTACCGCCAGCAAGCGCGCATTCTTAGAAGGGTTGAACCCAGCCCCGTGTTGTCAGCTGCAGTGGCCGAGGAAGGCAGGTCCTCTCAGTCATTTGACAAGGAATGTTCATTCGACAAATGCCGTCGTACTGGACACGGACAGGGTGGAGTCAGCACGCGTGCTAAGGAATGCCAAGACCTCTGCTTTGGTAGTAGTATTTCTGGTGGGGAGGGAAGGGAAGCGAAGGGAAGCAAAGAATAGGATTGTAGTGTGCATTTGTGCGTGTACACAAATGCACCAGGTTAATTAAGGTGCTGCAAAAGAAAGGGTTATTTTCACCCAGGGTTCCTCCTTTGAACAATAAACAGGACTGAGCTTTACAGAAGCCCTGGGGAAATGAGAAAATGCCTTGCACTGAGTCACAGCATTGTTCAATCTAACTTAGTGCCATCTACATCAAGGGCCAAATTACACATCACAGTGATCATGAAGGCTTGCAGCTAAAGCTTGTACTGGTTTATATTTGAGTGAATCGCAGAAGATCAAGGCTGGAACAGACCAGTGATCCATCTGGCCCTGCACAGGGGCCAACCGAATGCAACACACCCTCTGACCCATGTTCCCCCGCTACTCCTGTAGAGAGGCATACTGCCTCTGCTGCTGGAGGCAGGATATAGCCATGAGGACTCACAGCCATGGACAGCTGTCCTCGCCATGAATTGTCCCGTCCCCTTTTCCAGCCATCGGCACACCTCACAGAAATGAATTTCATAATGTAAATATGAACTGCATGAAGAAGCACTTCCTTTTATCTCTCCAGATGCTCCCGCCAGAAAGCTTCATGGGGGGACCCCAGGGTCTAGAATCTTGAGTGGGAAGAAAGGACTCCCTGCATTTTCCCCACACCTTGCATCATTCTGTACATAACTGCATAATTCATAATTGATCATGTCTTCCCTTACTTGCCTTCTTTCGAAGCCAAGCAATCTTAGCAGTGTAAACTTGACTCATACGGGAGTTGCTCCAACTCCTTGATCTTGCCCTTTGTCTCACCTTTTCCAATTCTAAAATATATTTTAAGTCCATTGAGCAGAACTTTACACAATATTGTAAGTGCAATCACACCATAGATTCGTATAAGGGCAGCATGACATTAATATATATATATATTCAGTGTGTTTAAACATTTTGCCTAGCACAGTTTGCTTTTTTCACAGCAGCCACACTCTGAGCTGACATTTTTAACAAGCTGTCCATTACAGTCCCAAAATTCCTGCTTCCACCTCAGATCCAATCATCGTATACTTGAAGTTGGGAATTTTTTTTACCCTAACATGAATCATTCTACCCTTGCTTATATTGAACTGCATTTGCTATATTTAATGCCCATTATCTCAGTTGGAAGAAATTGTTTTGAAGTTCCTCACAATCTCTTTTAAGTTTTAACTACCCTAAATAATTTGGTGTCATCAGCAAATGTGGCTACTTCACTGCTCACTCCTTGTTCCAGATCATTTCTGAATAAGTTGAAAAGCATTGGTCCTAAACAATACAGGTCCCTGTGGGACCCCACTGTTCACTCTCCTCCATTGGAAGAAAGTACCATTTATTCCCACTCTTGGCTTTCTATTCCTCAACCAGCTCCTGATCCATAAGAGAACCTCCCTTCTTATTCCATGACTCCTAAATTTGCTCAGAGGTCTTTGGTGAGGGACTTTGTCAAGGGCTTTTTGGCAGTCCAAGTATACAGTGTCCCCTGGATCAACTCTGCCCACATTTATGGACACAGAACCTTTGGGTTATGGGGCAGCATAGAAGTGGGAAATAAATAAATGTTTTATTGATACTCTTACAGAACTCTAAAGGATAGTAAGACAGGACTTACTCTTGCAGAAACCATGTTGATTATTTCTGAACAGGACTTATCCTTCTATAAGCTTGCTAATACTATCTTAGCAACATTTTGAACCAATTTCTCCAGAAAGACCTTACATTAATTGGTGTATAATTGGCCAGATGTCTCCTGGATCCCTTCTCAAAAAATTGGAGTTAGATTGACTATTCTCCAGACCTTTGGTACAGAGGCAGTTCTTAGAGACGTTTTACACATATTTTTTAAGAAGGCCAACAATATCATATCTGAGCTCTTTAAGAACTCTGGGAAGGATTCCATCTGGGTCTGCTCATTTATTAACTTTCAGTTTTCCAATAAGGTTGAGAATTTCATCTTCTATCTGCCTTAGTTCCTCAGATTCCCTGCCTGAAAACATCAGTCCAGGCAGAGGTATCTGTCCTGCATCTTCTGCAGGAAGGATAGATGTAAACAATTCATTAAGCTTCTCTGCAAACACTTGTTCTTTGGAGATATGCTCCTGATGGGGATTGGGACCATGGCATTTTGGGAGGAGAGCATTAATTCCCATCCCATCCATTGCCTCTCAAATTCCAAGAATTACAAGGAAAACAAAAGCAAAATCACAGAATTAACAATAGCTAAAAATTGTTCACCAGCAAAAGCAGCAAAATGCAGATTGAAACAGAAAGTGGTCATATGGCACCTCCTTACCTTAATAAACAGAATATTCAGGAACCAAGGGGCCAAAGTGGAAAAGGCTCTGCTCCTCCTTATCACTGTTCTTATCAAGCTTAGAAAGATAAAGGACGATGTGATTTCCCAACTGTAAGTGGAAGGTAAACCAGTATAGCAAGAAGTAATCCCTCATATTTAATTCTAGATCTAAAGCAAACATTAACAACTGAACCAGACTGTCTTTTTTCCCATGGAACAAAAAAAAAAAAAGTAAATACTGACCCAATATTTGCATTTCCAGTTAAACTTTTCACACATGACATGCCACAGGAAACTCAGGTTTGCAAGAGAGTTCCATGTGAAGGAACTCTACTCAGTCCTGGCTCTCAGATAAATATGGCCTGGTTCACAAAGCCATGTGTGGATAGATTCATGTACATAATGTAGCTTTTATGCATTTTATTTGTGTGTGCATGGCATCGCATGGTAAATGGAAGATCGAGTAGTCATTTCATGTGTGAATGGTCCATCAGAGACATACTAGGTTGCAAAGAGAACTTTGCTATTAATACCTGCAGCTTCCATTGACTGTGTAACATTCAAATATATGCATATCGACTGGTGAACTTTGCCATGTGTGAACAAGCCCATATGACTGACAGCTGAATGTGTGAACGGAGTCCGATCAGAAGCATTGCCTACGTCTGTGATGCTGCAGTCATCGTGGGATAACCGACCATGTGTAGCCAGGACAAATCTGTAGGATGCATGTATTTCCAAACACATTTCTCTCTTTTACATGCCAGAATTTTAGGGGCACTGCTAAAAAAAAAATGTGGGTGATTACTTTAAAACTGTGGGGTTATCATTCACCACCGTTGAGTGGTGCACATGTATTTTACATGCTCTCACACACAAGAGAGGGAGGGAGAGGGAGAGAGAGAGAGAAGGGCAATAAACCCTGCTTAGAGAAACAGTTTTGTTGAAGGAAAACCATCCATCACTGGAAAGCAGCAGCAAAGTCAGTGAACCGAGGTGGGCTTTCCTCTCATCCTTCTGCCCCTGGACACGAGTGAGTGTGCAGTGCCTCTCTCTCTCTCTCTCTCTCTCTCTCCCTCTCTCTTTGTGGTGCAGCTGTGTCTCTCCGTGGTTTCAAAGCTAAGCACTGCTAGGATGAAAATCAGCTGGATCGGCTTGGATCTGTCTCCTCTGTTTCTGCCTGATCTTTTTTGGTGTGATTGGGGGGGGGGGGGAGAGGAGAAAGAAGAGGGGTGGTCTGCTTCTACTCTTCTGATTGGTCAACCATCCCTCCTTTTGTTTTGGAGATGATTAGAGAATTGACTTTCAAGTGCTGATCTATCTTTCCTACTTCCCCTTAAATGGTACACACCCAGGCATCTCCCGTTCTGAAAATTCATAAGATTTCTTTTATGTAAAGGTTGTGGCAAACCATTATGAGCTTACGATGGTAAGTGCCCTTTTTTTATTACTGTTTGCTTTCCCCCCTTTCCCCCCGTTGCGCTAGAAAACCACGGTTGCAGTTAGGAAGGCTGGGGCGGGGGGGGGGGGGCTAAGATAACCTTTGGGGGTGGGACCGATTCAAAGTAACCACCCCACCTCTTCGAAAGTGTACGTAAAACGACGCTGGGGAAAACTTCCGATCTGTCTTGGGATAGGAGGCAGAGAGCGCAGGCGAGGCTGCGTAGGTTGGTGTGTTTAATTCTTATTTTGATTTCTGAAGAATGTGTCTGGGAGGAAAAGAGTCAGGCAAAAATAACCCAGCAGCTGAGATGCCCAAGCGGAGGCGCAACCTGAGGATTGTGTCCGGAATTGTGCCCGAGAACAATGGAGCGCTTCTCGCGTGCGGCGCGGGGCGCCCTTCCCCTGCCGGCTCCCGGGCGCGCGTCGGGCTGCGGCTCCTCCTCTCTCGCCCTGGGGGCTCGCTCAGCGGCCAGGGCAGCCGGCCCGCCGCAAGCTCCGGAGGCGGCGGCGGCGGCGGCGGCGGGGCGCGCTTCCCGCGGCGGGGCGCGCAGGCGG